ATTTTCACTTTTAGAAATTAAAATTGAAAAATATTCAGAATAAATTATGATAACTGGCTCTGTAGCAAAGAGGGACTAGCAGAATATATTTTATTTTTGTGGTTGTTATCATTATGGTCTGTAAAGAGTCTTAGACATTTTTTTCTAACTCTGGTTCCAAGGTAATGTATGTGGATGGATTGATGTGTGTTTGTTTTGATTCCACCTACCATCAAATTCTTAATAAATATAAATCAAGCAGATACAACCATCCCCTGTAAATCTCGGTGTTGCACAAGCTCGTGTCGGCTCTCCAGACCTCACGCAGCTTCTTCTCAGTGTCTCCATTATCCACTGAAAGTGATCATTCAGTGGTTTTATCAAGATCTACCTCAAGTGCCAAACCAGCATGGAGCAGTGTCTTCTTTCAGGAGACCTGACTTTGTTTTGTTTCAAATTGAATTTTGTATAAAGTCTTGGAAAACCATCCACAGCCACAGGCATAAAAATCATTTTCCAGATAATCAAAATTGAGGAGAAACTGTAAATCTTTCTCAGGCCTTTTCTGTGCAGCAAAAATAGTAAGAAAAATCATTCATCTATCAAGTAACAGCTATGCACCATAAGAGATACAATGTTTTCCACTGAAACATGAAGTGACCTCACCTGTGCTCCCACCCGCCTAGCCTACTTGGCAGTTTTCCAAACTATATAAACCTAACCACAAAGCCTTTGTTGTCAAAAGACTAGGTTTCTCCTGGCTAAGAGGGACAATGAACTTTAGAAAATACAGGCTTAGGATTCACAGGGAACCGCAGAAATTATCAAAAGAAACCAGTTCAATACCCTCCGTTGATGTTCTTCTTCAGCTTCGTGTTTGGCAGAGTTCAGAACACACTTAACCATCTTTCATGCTGGAAACCTGTGGTTTGTGTGTGAGTTTAATGAGCGAGTGTCAGTGTGTGCTCGCCAGAAGAGCTAACATGCAATAACTCTTACCACTTCCCACTGTGACTGGGCAGGCATGCAGGAGTCACAGTGCACCAGAGACTCGGTTGACTGTGGGAATGTGTTGGGGACGCTGTAACTGAAACACTGGCCCAGACAAGCTCTGCAACGAGAACACAGCGTATTCATTTTGTTGTGCAGTCAGACACGAAATGTGCGATTCAACGGCGGAGCCAGAGCACTCCTGTCTGTGTGAGCAGGAAACAAAGAACCTGAAACCTGAACCAGTTTACCTAGCCTCAGGGTGTCTGGTACCCTCAGGCCACACGCACAATCACAAAATGGAGACTTGTTATTTGTAAATAGATGTCGTGGAAAGTAACTAAGTACATTTACTCAAGTACTGTACTTGAGTACAATTTTGAGGTATCTGTAGTTTACTTTAATATTTTCATTTTCTGCTACTTCATACTTTGCGGTCACTACATTTTAGAGGCAAAAATTGTACTTTTTACTCAACTGCATTTATCTTATAGCTTTAATTACTAGATACTTTTCAAAATCAGATTAATGAAACAAACCTTTGCGGTCACTACATTTTAGAGGCAAAAATTGTACTTTTTACTCAACTGCATTTATCTTATAGCTTTAATTACTAGATACTTTTCAAAATCAGATTAATGAAACAAACTACAGTATAATCATAAGACTTTACTGATCAGTGGAAAATTCATAGGCTACTCAGCCATAATTCAATTATAGGTAGGCTATGTAAGCTGGTTAAAACTAGTTCCACCTTTACCAGCTGCAACATTAAATGTGTGTCAGTAATTGCAATCCAATAGTGGGATATACATTAATGGTAAATAGTATTTTTACTTTACTTTTACTTTATGCTAATACTTTGGACTTTTACTTAAGTAATGCTTTGAAATCTGGACTTTTACTTGTAACAGAGTACTTCACACTGTGGTATTGCTACTTTTGCTTAAGTAAACAGTCTGTGTACTTCTTCCACCACTGGCAAATGTTAAGTGAATCACTAGCCAAGTTCTGATTAAAAGTAAAAACCCTGACCAAGATGACAGAATGTATTTCCTTCTCTGACATCTATCCTGTTAGATATGGGAAGCGGTCGGCAAAACTTGTGCTGATGTCAGTGTGGCGATCACAACGTTCTTTGACAAACCAGGGAATGGTACATATCATGTTTTCCTGAGTGAGCATTACTAGAATAAACGTTACCTTAACCTGTACATTTTCAATCATGTAACTTGAAGGCAGAAAAGTGTTTTGTCCACATATACTGATCTTCAATATTATTCTTATTGCCCCCTAATCCTATTAAAAGCCCTAAAGAACATCTTATTCTTCTGACACTGGGCCATAGACATCCATTGTCATCCAAAATCAAAATAAAATGCATATATGAGTCACACTGTTGCACTGAATGACATGTACTGTACCTTGATTGACATAGACAAGGGCGCTCTGATTTACTGAGTCAGTTTCACGTACATAATCCTGCTGCTGTAAATACTCACTAGTACACAAAATAGTAAAAACACAAAACATTTTAAAAAGAAAAACTATAGTATACAGCTGTTTTAGGGAAATTTTTTGTGTTTCTTTAAAATGTAAGTATATATTCATAAGCTCTTTAAATACTTATGACTCTGGGAGAACTCAGTGAGTTTGCTGAGAATAAGAAATACATGAATATTGCCAGCCATCACCTTTCATACTAATACTTGCAGTTTAAGAGCCCTTCTGGACGGTAAAACAACAGAATTTAACAGAAATGAAAGGTAAGGAATAGGAAAAGACAAAAATCTGAGATGCTGTTGTATGTTTGGGACTGTGGTTGGTAATGAAACAAAATACAAACAGCAAATTAGTTTCAGTTCCTTGATGTTTCTGTTGTACCAGCGCTTCCTCAGTGTGCCGCTCAAACTGAACTCTAAGAATGCAACTTACTGACAGATAGATATATCCACTTTATTTGCTCTTTTTTTCAGCTGCAATGAGACAGAGGGAGACAAAGAGACAGAGAAGGCCTCTACCTGACCTGTTTTGAATAGAGCGAGGCTGACATCCCGTGTGCCCAACTATCTGTGTGATGTTCTTGGCCTCGCACCAGGCGCTCTTGTCAGGGAACAGCGCCAGGCGGTTGATGTGTGCAGGCGGTGCGGCTGAATACAGTGCAAACAGTGCACAGCAAATCTGAATCCTCTGCCACATGACTGCACCTGAAGGGGTAGACAAAACATGTAACTGCTCTGTAAACCTTGTTCAAGACAAAAGCACGCACTCAAAGGAGTGCTGACAAAGTATCTTCATGTCTTCTGTATCTGCTGCTCAGATGCTGTCTGGTTTTAGAGAAATTTGAACTTTGCATATCCCTGCTGATGTGGATTGAAAATTTTCCAGTGATTATCAGCTTGAAATCCAGAGATCCCTGTGCATCACATTTGTCCAGTTAACAGAGTTATTCATTTGAATAATTAAAATAAGTTTTTAATCATCTGAGTCACCAGCTGCAGAGAGAACAACATATGTTTAACTGCTCAAAAAAGACTCTACGTCTACAGTGGGGGAGAGAGTCAAATGTCGGCTTCACATCACCTAACTCTAATACCAGGCTGTCCTCTGCCTTTCACTCTCTTCTTTAAAAATGCTTCAGTCACATCATTTACATTAAAAACAGTTGAATATGTTTAAACAAAGAGAAGCGGCTAATGGTCACCCACGTCAACTCATTTAGGTACTTTTCAGCATTACCACTCCCTCAGACATAACCTAGCCTTGTATATAAAGAATCAACAGAGCCATTATTGAGTGAGAATAACACCACTGACAATGGGAAGCACTTGGTTTAATAAATATCTTTCTGTCTATTTTTTTGACAAACCTCAAAAGCTTGGATTAGATGTTTTTCACCGTGGTGATAATGTTAAGCATGAATTTCTTACTCTACTGACTGAACATCCTATGACACGACTTTTGTTGTGATTTGGCGCTATACAAATACAATTGACTTGAACTGAGCTGCTTGGTAACGCGTTACAATAACCAATCAGTTACTGCTTCAAATATAATAGCAGCGTGTGACTAAAGATTCGTGGTTGGATGCTTTACTTCGAAGATTGAATTTGAATTGGAATAGTTTTACATTCTATCGCAGTCTCTCGTATTTCCAGTCGCGTAACGTAACGTTACGTTACGTTATGTAACGTAAGGTAACGTCAGTTAGTTCTTCCCACTTCAATTTAAATATTTATACGAGCTACATGGATCTCGGTAAGTCTTATTTAACAGTTTGCCGCTGATTTTTGCCATTAATACAGAGGCAAATGTGATAGTCCTGTTTTTTTCACCGGCAAGTTCTCTGTTTTCTTCGAGTTAGCGTTACCGAAGGTGGGAGAAGTTGTAGTCTTCTTTCCAACAAGTGCTACTGAGGAAAAGTAACCTATAGGTTGGTGAGGGAAGTACCGTAAAATGCTGAATAGCAGCTGTCATAGGGTCGTTAGCTCACAAGTATACCAATAACCTTACTTTTCAAATTAGCAACGAGTAGTGAAGTACTTTCTCAGTAACGAGCCCGAACAGTGGTGGTAACTGAGACACTTACCAGCGCTCAGCGACCCCGGGGAACAGCCACTTGATCACTGCGCAACGTCCCGCTGAGCTGAGTCCCCTCACCCAAAACGGGCTCCTGAAACCAGAGGATGCGGCTGTCGGATATCACGGCGTGCTGATAGTCTAATTAGAGGGGAATAAAGTGAGCAGCTTGTGCGCGTCGAGAATACATCCGAGCTCCGTCTGTCATAAAACAGTTACATCACCCGGAAAGAACAAGAACCGTCCGGCCGCGATGGGGGAAGGATGGGGAGACGGGGTAGGTTGTGAGCGCTCTCACATCTCGGAGACCATAAGCCCGGACCGTTCCTCCCCTTTGTTCTCTTCCCGGCCACTGCTAAATTCCCATGTAACTCCACTGAAACACGCTTTCCAACTTATTGTCTGTTGCTGTTAAACTCCCAAGCAGGGGTTATAGGCGCGGCTGAGCCCTCAGACAGGGGTCCTGCTGTGCCGATTCTGGACGAAAGAAAACGGGGAGGGAGGGAAACTGCTGGGAAGGTTTCAAATGTTTCCCTAAGTAGGAGAGAGGCGAGACCGCAGATCAGATTTACTGGATAAATATGCAAATATAACAGATTGCTCAAATATGGCATATATGCAGTTAAGCTTTTCAAATAACCTGGCATTGCTTTACTAAAATATTCCATTGCAAACATTAATAACAGTATAATAATCCTATACAGTTGGAAAGGGGGGGATAATTTCTGCTTTGATCCATTTTCTTTAACACTTTCTTGCAATGGGGACATTAAGGATGTTGATAGCAGAGCAGGCTACTTAACAAGAAGCTCATGACAACTTGATCTAATTAAGGCCCTTTAATATGGTTGGAGTGAAACCACTGACAGGCTCATGAGCAGGAGCTGCTGAAAGGCATTATGTACCCCTGGTTCTGCTGACCCGTGAGTCCGGTGCTTTCACATCCAATTTAAACAGAAATATTGGGAACATACTGTACCTGCCTTTGGGCCTTTTCTGGTACAAAACTGAAGTCTAAAGGGGCAGAAGAAGGGGTGGTGGAAAGTAGTAGCTAGGTACATTTACTTACTTTTGAGGGTTTGTACTGTATGTAATGTAGTATAAAAACATGATAGTATGTAAAGTAGCAGGTTAAAATTCTACATACATATTAATGCATCAGTGATAATAAAATATAATAGTACAACTCTCACAGGGCCCCTTACTACGCACTGTGCACATTTACTGTCGATACCTTTAAGTACATTTTGCTAATAATACTTTAGGTAACATTGTCACTGCAGGACTTTTAACTATATTTTACAGTGTAGTTGTGCAACAGTAAGTAAAAGATCTGCGTACATGCTTTACCACTGGTGGTGCCAAGATTAACTACAGCATTGTATCATATTTCAGTGTTGTTTTAAAAAAGAAAGTAATAACTGCAGCTGTAAATGTAGTGGAGCAAAGTACAACATTTCCATTCTGGTAAAATGGGAGTAAAATTACTGCACCAAGGGAAAAAGTACATACACTTTAAAAATTGCCTTGAAGTATAGTACATCAGTAAATCTGCTTATTTACTTTCCATCTCAGGTAGCACCAGGATAAGTAGCTTGTTGAAGTTACGACAGCAGCATCAGCTACAGAAGCATAGTCATGCAGCAGCACACATGCCTGGTCCTATATTTTACACAATGACTGAGCAGTTTTAGCCATTAGGTGATCAAATGTGATTAGGTAGTATTATTAGACTGGTAATTATGATTCTTCATGGAGATTTTCCCAGACAGGCGCTAACAAGTACAGCCATGGGCTTTGGCTGTCCTATTACACCTCAGCTGTGTCACTAGTCCGCCTCACCCTCCCACACACGCCTACATCCTGTTCCTGCACTTCATCCAACCAGTGTAGCCTTGCTTGCAGGTGTTCAGTCTGGCTTATTTCTGTTTCACGCTTCACTTGCAAACAAATATTTTAATGGACAAGGGAAGAGTGACATGGCTTAATTTCTGACAGGGTTACTGTGTGTCTGATACATCGCAGTACACCAGTGTTGAAGAAACAGGCCTTTGAAGATGCTGGAAAGACTTTAATTCTATTGTGTGCAGGAATGTATGTGCTTACTCTGAGGAGACAACTGTTACTGTGACGGAGAGGAAAAACGTGTGTGCAATGGAGAGAGCGTGCACAGAGCAGTGTTTTCTTTGATGTGAAACCGTACAGCATATGTTATGTTCAGACGTGCAAAGTGCAGAACTCACCTGTTAGTAATAAGACTGAGCACCAGTCCAGAAAATGTATTCCTCTGCATTCCATGGATTCTGCTTCACCAGGGGGCTGCATAAACATGCGCACGTGCACACGCTCACACAAACAATTGTTCTTCCCTCCTAGACCCATGCAACTACACTTAAATGATCAATCACACTCCAAGTAATTTCAGCAATCACATAGCCAATAAATACAGATTCCTTCTCATATGAATCTGTGCTTTTCAACTCCCTCTGTCAGTCACAATAAATACTCATGAGGCTTAAAACAGTATAGCACTGCATACTGTTTGATGCCATGTTGATTTTCTTTGCCTCGATATGACAAATCTACCTCCCTATAGTATTCAAAGAAATCTATATCTATAAATAGCAAATAATGTATGAAAACCTAAACTTGCTTCTCTTTTGAACTAGCATTGTACCTCCATTGACTGTATTCTCTTTATTCCATCATTCTGTGCAACTTTTCATCCTCCCACTCTTGAGCAGGGCTGCAGATGCTGAACCTGGCTCTCATTCCAAAACAGCAGGAGTTCCACTCCCAGCTCATTAACACACAAAATTACCTCCCACCTTCAAAACCACATTTCATTCTTTTCAAACATGCACACATAGAAACAAAGAGGGATTTTTCACAATGACTTTATTAAATATAAATAGACTACCCTTTGAGCATAATGTGGATTGGAATTGGTATCAGGACAGAAATGAGCAGCAGAATAGCAAGGACAGCACAAAGACAGATGAGCAGCTCCTCAGAAAATCCTCCTCATCTTTAGTCCTTCATTACTGGTCCTGAAAATGAACATGCATAGAAGGCATGTGTCATGATGTGTTAGTGTGCCATAAAACCCCAACAAATAACACATTTTTCTCTGTGTGCTCACCTTAACCCTGCGGCCATGAATCAGGTACAGTGACCTTAAGTCATGCTGGCAGTTGGCGTAGCCCATACCCAGTCCCAAACCTGAACCAAATGACATGGGCCACATGCGACCTAGGGAAGAAATATTCATCTACACATGATATCTGAAAGTAAAGTGGCAATTACAAAAAAAGGTTTAACTTAATAAAAAAAACAAACAACTTACGTTTAAAGAAAAGAAGGGAGCAAACAATGCCCACACCAAGGCCAGTTACTGCAAAGAGGAAGAGAAGATAAAGTATGAGTGGCTTGATTAAAATACAAAAACAAATTATATGCCTTTAGTATTTTAGATAATGTAATCATGCCTGATCCAGTGTGAAAACTGGCTGGCACAGTCATAAATCTGTTGTAATGAGGTCAGCAGGGGTGACTCTATATGTTTGATGCAAAAGTTAGGTAAACAGCACAAGTTAGGATGACACTTCTCATTAGGAAGAGAGAAAAAAGGCAGCAAGAGCACAAACATCCAAGAAAGGAACAAAATAGCAAAAGGGGTGCAAAAGAGGGGGAACTGTGTCTAAAGCAGTACAGACAGTGTGTGAGGCAGAGGGCAGGAGAGGTTACAGCCCAGATAGTGTACATATATGCAGGTAAATGATGTCAGCGACACAAAAGTCGACTACATTGTTAGACCTATTCCGACCAGTGTGGGATCTTCAGGAAGAATGTGCTCAACTTCACCTCGCCACAGGCCACGCCACACCCAACAGCAGGCCAGCCAGCCACAGAAAACACATAAAAACAACCATTTGGGCCCCTCCGACTCTTAATTGGATTCAGAGAACTATGCAGCATGACCGATTTGCCTGAACCAGAGCCTTCAGACTGTTCCCTATTACACAACTTACAAATGTCAAACAAGACCACGATAGATTCCACATATCCCCATTATCAGTGCAGATCAACAATAAATCATTGTCCTCCGCATCCATTTCAAGTAAAGATTCACTTAAATTTAAGATCTTCCGTCTGTTGGAACCTCAGTACTCTCTTTGCTCTTCAGCCAGAGCATTTCTGATTTTCCACTGACTGTAATACAGGAAAAGCTTTGGCAAAATATGAGCGTAGATCAACATCTCATTCTGGCGTCCTTTCTCTTTGTTTGAACATCTCTAAGGGGGATGGATTATAACAAAAATATTTGTTCTGGAGAAGAATGAAATGTATGACCCACAGGCCTGAAAATGCTCTGTAAGTTCTGTCAGCAAATAAAGGCCAGAGCTGGTTGATTGGATTGTTATTCACTTGTTCATTGTTTCAAGTACTTTCTGCAAATGGCATCAATAAGGCATTTCATCATGATTTATTCAATTTGGTTAAGCCAAGCTCTATAACAGGCGAATGCTCGTTGCTCAACTTTGCAGTTTTAATAAAAACAATCGTATAAGTACTTTTTTTGCAAAGCTAATGATGTTTGTGAGTTCGGAGGGGGCACTGTTTAGGAAACTGGTTAGTGCTGATTAAACTATCTCAGTTATTGGATAGATTGCCAAATTTTGTACAGGCAGTTATGGTGTCTAGAAGATGAATACTAATGAATTTGGTGCTAAAGAACAGCCTCGCAGAGCTGGTAGCATAACTGTAGGCTATTAGCCTTTGAATACACCGCATATGCAGAAGTGCAAACATCCTTTGTGTCATATGTGAGTTCCTGAAGAAGTTTTTCTTTCCCTTTACAAAGACAGGTTTGATTGCTCTCATGATGTTTTCACTTTCTTCAGTGTCCACTTGGCAATAGTTTAATATTTAGAGCTTTAAGTTTATAGTGCTAGTAAAGCAGCTCACTTTCTTTATGCGGTATCCTCTGTAGGATACCAACAGTTTTACCACAATCTGTGGCACTAAATATGAAAGGTAGGCTAGGGGAGTCATTAACTTAACTCGTGTAATTCTACACAAACAGGCTAAAGGACATTTTCCTAAATGATCATACAAGTCAGGGCTAACAAAAACATTTTTAAACAGCCCCCTGAGCAGAACATGTGTTGCAGAGTTTCTCTGGCTACCAGAGACACGCTGGCACAGCTGGTAGTTTGCTACACTGAGCTCAAAGAAATGCCACAATGCAGATGTTTTTACTTCCTAGCATGAAAAATATTTTACAGCACCAAACCCATCAGTGTCCTTTTGGACAGATTTTTTGCCAAAACTGAACTAAATACCACACATCAACTAGTAGACCAACATTTAGCTTAAAGGTATTTGCTATACCACACTGTGAGGATACATTAAGCTTGAAAAAAAGTTGAACAGGCATCTCTTTCTCATTGTGTCAGTCCACAGTCCAGCTTTTTTTCTCACCCCAAAGGTTTTTCAAAAACGGTCCCACCAGAGTGGATAAATCTGAAATCACTGGCTTTGCATTTTAGTGTTGGCAGGGAAAAATCTTTGGAAAGCAGTGAAATAAATGCGCCCAGAAAGGCCCAGGAAGTATGTGACAGCAAAGCAAAAAAGATGACTTTGTCACTTTTAATCTTCTAAGCAATCACTCATTTAAACATCAGCACAGCTGATGTCATTAGTTACATTTATTTTAAAGGAAAACTTTCTCAATTTTGTCAAACTTTGTCACCTCATCCTTAAATACGGAGGCAGCTGTGGCTTTGGCGGTAGAGCGGTTGTCCCCCAACTGGAAAGTTGGCGGTTCGATTCCCGTTTTCCCCAGTTGACATGTGTTGACACTGAACCCCAAGTTGCTCCTGATGACCAGAGCAGCACCTTGCAGGGACAGTGCCACCATTGATATATGTATGTGATGTGTGTTGGCGCGGCAGGTGGCTACCTCAGTTCTGTTACCAGAGATAAACTCCTTGTGTGTATAACATACTTGGCCAATAGAGGTGGATACATTTAAAAAGTGCAATAGTTATTCAATCAAAATCTAAAAGCAAAATATTGTTTGCTTGGAGGCATTTATAAAATATATTTCATACTCCACTGCAGAAAAGCATATTCACTCAATTCCTCTACTCCAGCATAGGTTTGAATGCAGGAATCCACTGCAGAAAAGCATATTCACTCAAGTCCTCTACTTAAGTATAGGTTTGAATGCAGGGGTTTTACTTGTAAGTTGAGCGTATATACACTGCTTAAGTAAAAGGACATACTGTACAGTAAGTAGCCTATTCCACATAGGTCTACTCTCTATAGCCTGTTAACGCTGATCAAAACACACATTCTAACGTGTAGTATTAACTAAACAAAGATTTTAGCCTTAAATCAAACACCAAGCTGTATTCATTCAACAAACAAGTTTCCAGTTGACATCAGTAAACTGTCCCATCATGGTTAGACAAATGTCCAGTCGGAAATCACCTCGCCTCTTGCTTTGACTGTAGCGCAGCTTATTTACCAGGTGAGATATTCAGCAAAATCCCTAAGGACAACTTTAAATAAATACGTTACATACATGAAAAGATATTAACCTGTTTTCACGGCAGTGTCAGCAAGACAGCGATCCCATTTCCGTCCGAGCTCGTCTGCCATGTTTCCTGCTGTCAGGAAGCTCCACAAAATATCGCGAGAGGTATAAGCATAAACCCTCCACAGCATTGTTGTCTTCAAGGAAACATTCCCATAAACAGCTAAACTAAATCAAACGGATTTTTTGAGTAAATGCTCGACAGGCGACGTTAATGTTAAATATAATAGGAATTAAAATAATAAGCAAAGCCACTATCATTTATAAGAGATGCTAGCTTCTCTGATTTGTGAAATCAGTTATGGTCCAACAGGTAAATTACCCAAGCATGATGGGGAACTTGAAGCATGCATTGCACGTACACTGAGAATGGCCTTTCAATTGAGGCATCAAATTTTTGTAATTAAATATATTTTCATGTTCACAAATTATGGATTTTTCACGGAGGGAGGAAGCATAAGAATTTCTAATAAAGTAATTGAACCTTTTATGGAAAACCACATCAGACAAGCTATTTTTCAGTGCAGGGCAGGTTCATATATCTTGGCTGTGTGAGGGGTTGGGTGAGCTGATGGATCAAACCAAAGCTAATTTTAATACTAATGAAAAATCTCTATTTATGTTGTAAAGCCCATTAATTATGGACAATAACAATATTAAATAAAATAAATAAACAAAAAGCTAACAATGACAGTGCACTAGTGTCATTTATAAAAGGTATTACCTGACACTGATGGATTTTTCTCTCTTTTCAAGATCAGAAATGAATTTGAAATGGTTTAAAAAATTATTCATATGTAATTAAAGGATCAAAAATAAAACTGACCACAAAAGGTCAGAAGATATAAATGTAAAAAAAAAGATAATAAATATTTTTTTTAAAGGAACCCATATAGAATAAATAAATAATTTTGATTGTTTACATGAAAAGTGTTTAGGAAGAAGCCTCGCAGGTTTTTGTTTCACATTTGTAGCTATTTTCAGGCATTGTTGGTAAACCAGTCATTTCATTCTAACTACACGGGTGCGTTTGTGTATCCACCGGCCTCTCTGACTGCAAAATTACCGCGCCACACCTCTCTTTCCATACTTGGCAATGCCTTTCTTGCTCCTTCGCTATTGGCTGCTGCGCAGAAAGCCCGGTGTGACCCGGACATGCAACCAGGGCCTGTTTTCTGACTGCAGCCTCCTTCCTGTAGCCCGGTTGAGGAAGTAAATTTCGCTGACAGGGCTGGGTTGAGTGAGGGAAAGGCGAGCAAAACATATTCAGTGGGGGACTAAAAAAAGCAATAGAACAACAAGAGGCGAGAGGAGTGATTTGTTAAAGCACAGTAAAGTGAAGGTGTACAGTCGTCGGTGAAATCGTGCTCCCCTGCCTCTCTGAGACCGCCACAGACATGGTAAGGGCCGCGATAGAGCTAATGGGAGAGACGGGAACGGGGCAAGCGGGTTTTGGTGGGGCAGCTGGCTACAGCTAACTAAGCGTTTACGGCTTGGAGTGCTAAGCTAGGGTAACGCTCGCTGGAGGTGCAGGGTGGTAACCTGAGAGGAGCCGTAGCAGAGGAGCCAAGTGTATAAATCATAGCCAACTTGCACTGTTTGCAAAACTTCCTCGTACCGGATACAAATGAATTAGCTTCGGGGCTAAGCTATAAGCTGGATGTTTTAGCTAGTTGGCTAGCTGTTAGTTAAGGTATGCATAAAGTTAGCACAGGATGTTTAGGATTCGAAACAAGTTGGTGGATAACGTTAGTATTGGCGAGTTCTAATGTAACACGCACACACGCAATCACCCAGGCGTGCACACACAGGCTAAAATAGTCAAGCGCCGGGTTGCCTGTAGCTAAAATAAGACTGCTTGCTCCTCCTATTCCAAATCATGACAAGCTGTCAGCCTAGTCAGTTTTCCTGCTTTGCAAGGTTGAACATGACTTTACCAACATTCCCTCTAGCAAATGTTGATGTCTTTCAGTACTTACAAATCATATCGTTTACTTATTACTTGGTTTTGATTATTTTGTACATCTTGAGCTTATATGACAGGAACATCACTGAAATAGGTCATGTATTTATGTTTGTTAAAAACTAATACTATACTTGAATTATACTAGCATCTCTTGCTTTCACACTGCTCTGTAGTACTTCCACGTAGCTTAAAATGTGTTATTCCTGAGTTTGGAAGAGCAGCTGTTTTTTTTCTGCAGTCACCCACTCCCTTTGGCCTCACCTCATCCATCCTGCTGGCTCTGCCTCACCGCTCTCCCCTGACCCCGGCGGTTGTTGGTCTGAGCTAGTGTTTACTCAGAGACAGGAACACTGATACACACAGTGTCAAACAGCGCAGGTGTCTGATGGAGCAGACTGATTCATCAGCTGGGAGAGATTTTAAGAGCAGAGGAAAAGGCACGTTAGACATTGCCTGGAAACCTCTTATAGGTTCAGGGGCACCCTCAAGCAAAATGTTTATGGAGAAAGGGGTTCTCCATTTATAACACGCCATTGTCCTGTGATCAGCTAGCAGCTGCATGAGTGCATTTTATTAGGCTTGAGCACTTAAGAGGAGTTACTTCATAGATAAGCCAAGGCAGAAGGCTTTCTGACATCTAAAAGAAATGTGAATTTATTAGGTATAACAAACAATGTGCCAGTGCAGAAAACTATTACTTTTGTGCTAGTGGTGATTTTGAGATTAACACAAGTGATACAGATTTATTCCATCCATCCATCCATTTTCCTCCGCTTATCCGGGACCGGGTCGCAGATTTATTATCAATACAAATTCATGCTCTTTGCACATTTCTGTTTGTAATGGTAGAGACAAGTATATGTATGTCGAGATGGATGTGTTTCTCTTGGCTCAGCATGTAATCTGGTGTAGATTGATAAAAGCAGTTACTTATTCAGATACTTTAAAATGTTGTAATTACTGGACTCATGATAAAAAATGTTGATGCTGGTGTCCTAGTAAGGTGTTTGGTAATGCCCAGTAGCCTGAAAGGATTAGTAGAAAATGTGTTATGTGACATACATTTTCCTACATGTTTCCAAGAGTTTCATGTTGTGGCTAGTCTGTCCTCCCCTGCCCACTCATTTCCTGTGGCCTACTGCATTTTTAAGGGAGAGAAACCCCTGGCGGAAAGACAAACTTTCTGTTGTTTCTTCTATGGCTGTCTTCATGAAAACATTCTTCATCTTAACTGAATGGCCTGCCAGTGTAAAAGTTTTCATATCTTACATTAATTTATCCTAAAACTACTGCACAAACAATAGACCTTCACAGTAGATGGGCCAACCTTTTTATACGGAACACTACAAGAATGTTGATCTAGCTGTCCCTGGTAGGCTAGTGGTTAAGGCGCAGCGCTCTCGCTGCGGTGCCCCGGGTTTGAATCAGGGTTGCATCAGGAAGGGCATCCGGCGTAAAACACGTGCCAAATGTCAACATGCGAGTCGTCAGTGTGACGGTTCGCTGTGGCGACCCCTAAAAAAATGGGAAAAGCCGAAAGTGACAACAACAACAACAACAACAAGAATGTTGATCAGCAATATTTAGCCTACTTGACTCTTGGACTTGACAAACTGTCATGTATATTGGGCATGGATCAGACTTGTGTTGAGTGACTGATTATACAACAAAACAAGTATCTGAATCAACATCTTTGTGTGTAAAGAAAACAAAACTGGTTCTAAGAATATGCTAAATATTGGTCCTGATAGCACATTTCTTTTACAGATCTTGTCATGGCTGATTCCAAATGAGAAAGGTCTTTAACTTTCTTAAAACCTCTTCAAAGATGAAATTAAAGTTTGGCCTGAATGATAGTTGTTTTACATCTGACATTTATTGGCAGCTCACCTCAGTACAACTTATTCTCATCTAAAATACTGCTATGTCACACTACTGGTTGTTCTCTGCAAAATATTCCCATGACAAATCATGGTACTGCTCAGTCTACTGAGCTGTAAATGTAATCTCATAGTGCAATCAGTTTTACTGCAAGGGTATGAATGCTTCCTGGTCCAATCATGCAGAATGTAGCAGGCCTTTAAGTGCTTGCCAGTACTGATCCAGGACTTGCATTTATTTCCTACGTAATGCAGATGCACATCATACACTTGAAGATAGCGCCTGCTTTAAACCTAGCAGAGCCAGTTAAGCCTTCTATATAACCTCCTATTAGCAAAACAGAGCATTCACTGGGTTTTAGGACTGTCCTAGAACAGTTGTCAGGCCTTCAGTGCTCATTCTGTGGAGAAAGTCTAAGATAATTAGAAAATTAAGAAAAATCAAATGTGTTGTCTTCTGGGGTTTCTTGGTGTAAAAGTTTGTTTTCCTGCACAGTGTGCTTGTTTTTTTGAGCTGCTGTACAGGGACTGTAACACAAAGAGGACATGTTTTAAAGAGACTAACTTCCCTTTAACTAAGTTGACTAACAGACTAAAAGCCTCCTATTCAGATAAAAAGTGAACTTTTCAATCAACAACACCAATATCGAGATGTGTCACGCCAGTGAAATCTTGCTACAGTAGAGGTGAGGCTTGTTGTCAGAGTATCGACGCTAAACTGCTGCTCTGCATTTCACCTGCTTGCAGCACTATGTTGGGCTCTAGCATTTCCATAGAGCACATAATCCTAGAAAATTCTCCTTGCATTGGAATTTTAGCAGTCTTAAAATACCACTACACCAGTGCTGATCAATTAAATGATGCTCTGATGACAAACCTTTGGCTCGATGTAGGAAATATAAAATACTACTGCATAGTTCAAATGAGCAGCTGTTTTCAGACACAATTCACTTAAATAATAGATTTTTTTTTTCCCGATAGGATGAATCTGGATATTGTGCATACTGTATATAGTTGGGTCTGTCAGTTTTTTACTTCAGCTGTAGTGACAAACAATGCATAGTAATACAGTTGTATTTTGCTTTCTTTTAAAAGGTATTTTTTGACAGTAAAAAAGCTGAGCCAAGTATTATCAGTAATATAGAAATCAGTATTTGACTTCAGCAAATTTGCCTATATTAAAGCTGCTCTACCTAATTTCAGCTGCTAGAGTGGTCTAGTGAGACTCTGAACAAACAGACACCATGGCTAAATCCCACTTCATTTAATTGCATCCATGTTTCTCTCACTTGCATCTCGTCCTTGTCTTAGTCCTGCCCTCATATGACACAAGGAAAGATATGCAGTATAAAAGTGAGGGCACAGAAATTGAGGAAATACATTTTTACAGTCATGAGCTGTCCTTTCCTCCAATCCTTCAGTTGAAGCGTGCAGTCACCGGCTGATTTCTGATAAAGGGGCCTGTTGATCCACAAGACTTTTGCAATGGACGGTCTTGCCTGTCGTCACTGAAAAAATTTTTTTTTTACAGAACTTTTGAGACAAAAACCAAACTTAGCAAAGTTGAACATCACTCACTTTGTGTCAGTATAGCAAACTGTTCAGGATGATATAAAGCTTTGAATTACTGTTCAGCTTTAATCTGATGGCAAAGTGTAATGAGTGTTGTCTCTGCTGGTTGTGTGTGTTTCAGAATGACCAGCAGCTGGACTGTGCTCTGGACCTGATGAGGCGTCTGCCTCCTCAGCAGATCGAGAAGAACCTCAGTGACCTCATTGACCTGGTGAGTGTTGGAGTCTCCTGTCAGAGTTCCTTACAGGCAAATCACACAACCATGGCAGGGGGTAGGTTGTGTTAAAATCTAAATACAGTGTTTTGTTTATTATAATTCATTGTAAGGATTACACTGACTCATCACAGCAGTAACAACTTATGAGAGTGAAGCTGTTCTGTTCTACAGTTTGCCTGTAGGACTGAGTGAGTCTGAAAATGGGTTTAGGAAAGGGAAAAAGCTAAATTGAATAGTCACATGTTTGGAGGTTTTCCAGGCATGTCCAACTGGTAGGTGACCCTGAGGTAGACCCAAAACATGCTGGAGAGATTATGTATCTCATCTGGCCTCAGAAACCCACCAGAGGAACAGGAACATGTTGCTGGAAAGAAGGACGTCTGAACTGTCTTGCTGAACCCGTTGTCACTGCGACCTGATCTCTGATAAGTAGATTAAAATTGGTGGATGGATGGATGTTAAACAACATCACATAAGAAATGTACAAAGCAACAAACCTAACTAAGACAGACCAATGAAAACAGTAGAAGATTAAAGTAAACATAAATAAACAATAATGGCAGTGCTGCAGGGATTAACAGAAACTGCAGATTCATTTGTCTGTAAATGAATCGTGGTTTCTTTCCACGATTTTGTGTTCACTGGTTATTTTGAGTTTTTTAACAGAGCAGTACCAACTGAATCTGACCTAAATCAGTCACAAATCACATCACACTTGTACCAGGGTTTGCATGGCAATGTGTTTTGTGAGTATATCCGTTCCTTTCTGGACAGACCCCCACCTGCTCACCTTCCTCTTCCCTCACCTTTAACCTCTCTCCTCCCAGGCATCAACTCTCTCCTCACCCATTTTGCTGTGTCCAGTTGTTGGTGATTATTATCACAGCTGCCAATCACCTCCACTGCCAGGCACTTTTAGGATCCAGCATCCCTGTTCAGACTCTTCCTGGCATTTCAGAATCTGAGATCACTTCTTTTTTCTTTCTCTCCCACATGTCTTTTCCTCTCTGATCTCCATGTTCTCTACCCCACTCTTCCCACTGGGTTTTGTTCTTACCTTGTCTCACCTAGTCTGGGCTGCCAGGTGTGTGGGGGCTATATCTTAGGAAAACAGGGCCTCCTTTGTGTGTATGGTCTGATGCAGGGGGGGTCCATGTCAGTCTGCGAGAAGTAATTTGTACCCCCTTATCTTATTATGTTTCCCTGTGATATTTTCTTCCTGCTCCACTCGGTAACCTTTGCTTATTGAGTGACGCTGGAATTTGAGAGAAACACAAGAATGTTAAATCATTTTTGCCCTAACAGGAGAATATCACATGCCAGGATCTGCATGTTTTGCTGTCTACTCTTTTCCTCTGCAGACCTGGGAGGTTGATTTATAAGCAGGCACCAGCTTGTAATGAGGTGGCTCAGGAATCCAGGTGTACAGTAGAAAATGTTATTTCTGGATTGTGTGTCCAGGTACCCAGTCTGTGTGAGGACCTCCTCTCCTCTGTTGACCAGCCCCTGAAGATTGCCCGGGACAAGGTGGTGGGGAAAGACTACCTGCTCTGTGACTATAATCGAGACGGCGACTCCTACAGGTCGGGTTTCTAACAGCACTGTATTTGCAGACAAGGAACATTAACTACATGTTGATCAGTTAATCAGTCATGGGAAAGTAAGCTGCAGGCACTCACAGAAATGGAAGTGGCTTTTTTTTATAGCACGGTAGCTCAGGTGTGTAATATAGTTCACTGCAATTAGGTGAATCAGCATTTTGAACCATAGTGATGCACTTTGACATATAGTATTAGTTCTTGAAAAATGGCTAACATGCAGCAGAGGAACTGATGGGATGGTTTGCGTAAAGCCAGAGTAACAAGCAGCGTGCGTGATAAGGAATCGTGACAAGTGTGGTGGCCAGTCTGGAAACAGACAAGTCCAATGTAGGTTTAAAACTGAGGACTTCAAATTTTATGTCAAGGTTACCAGCCAGTGCATAGGCTAACACTACACGAGATTACTTGTAAAAGAAGGAATGCCACATTTGTTGTTAATTTAAATTCATAAGTTAAATGGTTGGTTGAGTATTTAATAAGTATGGTGATAACCGATTTATCATTAAAACTTTTTTTGTTAAAAACACCTGTTGTCAGTGCAGCTTCACCACTGTGATGAGCATTTTCACTTTCTGAGGCTCTACAGACTAAACGGTTGGTTGGCTAATCATTTAAATATACGGTTGATTAATCGCTAATGAAAGACAGCTGAAGCCCTAATTTAAAATACTCAGGGTTTTTTCTGCAACAGCCTTATTTGGTCTGGCATGGCCAGTAGTTTCTGGTGGCTATTGTTAGTGAACTTTACATGTATAATGTTGGGTAATTAAGTCTGTTTGCTGACTTTGACTTTTCTCATCTGTGGCTATTATCTTATGGGTTAGCATGTTGCACATAAACATTTCACTGTCTGTATCACAAAGGTAAAGACAGCATACCACGGCAGGAAACCTGTATGATGTTTCCCATTTGTGGTCATTTTTATTCACATTTCATACATTTGTTCGAATATGGTAAAAAATTGCTTTTCGAATACAACAATGTACGGTGTGTTAAGCGCAACAGGCAGTTTCATGTCATTTGTCGTGCGATCCAACAGATGACGTTCTTAAAATTCACTATCGGCTTGACCGGTTACAGGTCCTGTTGACCTCTCAGTAAAGTAAGCTTGTAATATTATGTTTGAAAGGACAAAATGTGGGATAGTAGCAAGCACAGTTGTGCTGATCAGACAATAACTACACTGGAGCGGTGTTGAGGTAAACGATTTGCCGACTGCAAAAAAACACAACAGCATACAACAACATATCCGAGGACTTGCCTGAAATCTCGCTACCCAAGTGAGGCACAGAAGTTAACATTGCCACAGACAGTGGAGCAGTGTTTGTTCTATAGTTTGATTTGATTTATTTATTTATTCTTTCAAGCATGTAAAGACAGTTGATATATCAACACACATAATTTTACACACATCCAACAAATGCTAATCCAATATCAATTTGCTTATACCTAGTACATGCTTGAATGGAGTAGGAAGAAGTCAGACTTATCCAGTCCTACCCCCTGACATCATCTTACCATCATTGGTTTGCAAGCAGTATCTCTACATAGATAATTCTCTTCTACACCACACAAGTAATATACTAAAGAATTATTACATAGTGTTAACATTCATACACCACACCCACAATGTTCCATCTAATTAATCATTAAGCCTGTTCTTGCATATATCTTGATTGACACATACCTTTATATTTATGTTTAAACTCATCAATTCTATTACTATTTTTTATGTCCACACTTAAATTATTCCATAGTTTTACCCCACTTATAGAAATACAGAATCTTTTTTTGGTTGTACGTATAGCATGAATTTTTAAATTTAACTGACCCCTTAAATTGTATCCCCCTTCCCTTTCATTAAATAGTTTTTGAATTCCACCAGGTAATAAATTGTTCCTGGCTTTATACAAAAACACAGCAGTCTTATATCCCACTAAATCAAAAAACTTTAACAATTTAGACTGTATGAAAGCTACATTGGTGTGATCCCTATACCCCAACTTATGCACAATTCTTATCGCTCTTTTTTGTAATATATACAATGGTTGAAGTGAGCTTTTGTATGTATTTCCCAATGGTAAAATCAATGAAGAATACAAAATG